AGCCACAGCACTCTAGGGTGATAGCTTGGCTAATTTAAGTTTATTATTTATTTATTTATTTGAGACAGAGTCTCACTATGTTGCTCTGGGTAGAGTGCCATAGCGTCACAACTCACAGCAACCTCAAACTCTTGGGCTTAAGCAATTCTCTTGCCTCAGCCTCCCAAGTACAGGACTACAGGTGCCCACCACAATACCCAGCTATTTGTTTGTTGCAGTTGTCATTGTTGTTCAGCTGTCCTAGGCCGGTTTCAAACCCACCAGCGTTGATGAATGTGGCTGCCGTTGTAACCATCGTGCTACTGGCACCAAGCCTATTTTTGTTGTTGTTGTTGAGGCAGAGTGTTACTATGTCACCCTCAGTAGAGTGCTGTGGCATCACAGCTTACAGCAACCTCAAACTCTTGGGCTTAAGCCATTCTCTCACCTCAGCCTCCTAAGTAGCCGAGACTACAGGTGCCCGCCACAAGGCCCAGGTATTTTTTGGTTATAGTTGTCGTTGTTGTTTGGCAGACCTGGCTGGGTTCAAACCTGCCATCTCCAGTATATGTGGCTGGTGCCCTAGGCTACAGGCACTGAGCCTGAACCAGATGTTTGAAAACTGTTTTAGTAGGGTCCATTCCTGACCTCTCCCCTTTGGTATTGAGCTCCTATCTATCTGTGTCTCACTGGGTGGGGCAATGGACTGGGATTACTGGCACTGTTCCCCCTCGCCTTGAATCATCATTGGATAGGACTAAAGGACCCTAACCTTCAGGGTCTTCCCTTGCTTACTTTTGTTCATTAGTTGCAATGGATTGAAACATAACTTGTCTTTCATTACTCTTGTAGGAATTGGGAGCAGTGTCCCTGGATGGCTACTTTCATCTCTGGAAAGCTGAAAATACACTCTCTAAGGTGTGATGAACATGACTTGGTGATTTTACGTAGTAATTTACCATATGGTTAGCATACTCTTGATTCTTTGTGTCTGTAATCCCATTTATTTGGGAGGCTGAGATTGGAAGAATGCTTGTACCCAGAAGTTTGTGAGCAACCTGGGTATTTTAGTGTAACCCTATAACCCTATCTATTCCCCCACAAAATACTCTTAATTCTTCTTGAACCTTTTCATTCTTGTCCAAAACATCAATTCTTCAGTGGTGCAGACATGTTGTGTGATACATGAAATTCTGCAGTTTTTAGACAGGGCTGGGTTTGAACTCACCACTTCTGGCATATGGGGCCAGCACCTTACTCCTTTGAGTCACAGGCGCCGCCCCAATACGTGAAATTATGAATCTGGCATTTCTCTCTTGAAAGTCTTTTTTTTTTTTTTAGACGGAGCCTCAAGGTGTCCCCCTGGGTAGAGTGCCGTGGTCCAACTCCTGGGCTCAAGCAAGTCCTCTGCCTCTGCCTCCCAAGTAGCTGGGACCACAGGTGCCCACCACAATGCCCGGCTATTTTTTGGTTGCAGCCGTCATTGTTGTTTGGCAGGCCCGGGCTGGATTCAAACCTGTCACCTTGGGTGTACGTGGCTCGCGCCTTCGTCACTTGAGCCACAGGCGCCAAGCCTCTTGAAAGTCTTTTTAAAAGATCAGAGTGGGTGATTCTTCAGATTGCAAGCGCTTTCTAAGAGGCTCCTTTAACTAACAGTTCTCTAGACCACATTGTTTTAGTATTTGCAATAATTACAGGTTATAACAATTTATAACAACTATTTGGCATACCGTAAAGACAGAAAAACCTAAATGTAAAAACCACTGGGGGACAGCACCTGTGGCTCAGTGAGTAGGGCGCCGGCCCCATATGCCGAGGGTGGTGGGTTCATAACCCAGCCCTGGCCAAACTGCAACAACAACAAAAAAAACAGCTGGGCGTTGTGGCAGGCACCTGAGGTCCCAACTACTCGGGAGGCTGAGGCAAGAGAATCACCTAAGCCCAAGAGCTGGAGGATGCTGTGAACTGTGACGCAACAGCACTCAACGTAGTACAACAGAGTGAGACTCTGTCTCTTAAAAAAAAAAAAAAAAAACCACTGGGAACTGAAAGTCAATCAGATTAAGATAAACCATCTCATGTAAGGTAATGAGTATATTCCAAAATCTAAAATGCTCCAAAATCCAAAACGTACAAGTACTGACTTGATGCCACAAGTGGGAATATTCTACACCTGACACCTTTTTTTTTTTGAGACGGAGTCTCACTTTTTCTCTCTTGGAAGAGTGCCATGGCATCATAGCTCACAACAACCTTAAACTCTTAGGCTCAAGTGATTCTCTTGCCTCAGCCTCCCAAGTAGCTGAAACTACAGGTACCCGCCACAATGTCCAGATATTTTTAGAGATGTGGTCTGGCTCTTGATCAGGCTGGTCTCAAACCTGTGAACTCAGGCAATCCACCTGCCTCAGCCTCCCAGAGTGCTAGGATTACAGGTGTGAGCCACCGTGCCTGGCCTAACACCTTTTCTTTTTTTTTTTTTTGAGACAGAGTCTCACCATGTCACCCTCAGTAGAGTGCTATGGTGTCATAGCTCACAGCAACCTCATACTCTATTGGGGCTTAAGCAATTCTCCTGCCTCAGCCTCCCCAGCAGCTGGGACCACAGGCACCCATCACAACACCTGGCTATTTTTTTGTTGCAGTTGCCTTTGATGTTCAGCTGGCCCGGGCCGGGTTCAAACCTGCCACTCTTGGTGCATGTGGTTGGCGCCATAACCACTGTGCTACGGGCACTGCCCCACCTTTGCTTTTTTTTTTTTGGCCCAGTCTGGGTTTGAACCCGCCACCTCTGCCATATGGGCCCGGGCCCTACTCCTTTGAGCCACAGGCACTGCCCCCCACCTTTGCTTTTGATGGTTCATTGTACAAAAACTTTGTTTCATACACTAAATTATTAAAAATAATGTATAAAATTGCTTTCAGGCTCTGTGTATTAAGGTTTGTATGAAACATAACTTAATTTCATGTTTAGACTTGAGTTCTATCCCCAAGATACCTCATTTATATATATGTACATAAACATGCAGATATTCAATGCTTATAATATTCAGTGCAAGTATATTTAATGCTTATACATATAGGCATTAAACCTCTATGTAGATCCACTTCCTCCCTTTTTCTCCCAAAGGCCTTAGCTGCTTGCTACTTCTGTGATAGGCTTTTTCTCAAGAGGAAGCAGGGCTCTAGGAATTACTGATTCCTTCATGTCACAGCAGCCTTTATGCTCCCCTGACTTTGCATGGTATCTTACATGCAGTATGCACCAGTGAGGATTTGCTAAATGACAAGGATCCAAGGTTCCACTTGATTTAGGTTATATGGGATTAAGCCAATCCTATGAGTGTGCTTTCTATATACAGTATACATTCCCATTCAGTTGTGATGTTAGGCTGAGCGTAGCCAGAAATCAGCCCTTGTTTCTAAAGAGCATTGAGGAGAATGGTGGCTCTTCTGGACAGACAGAGCACTGTGGGACCTCGGCTTTAGTGTCCTGGGGTTATTCTTGGAATAACCTTGGCATTTCCTGGTATTTATGATTATTTATTCCAACTATACCTTTTCCCCTACCTATCCTCTTAGTACCTAGATCTTATTGTTTCTTACAGTTACCTTCTCTTCCTCCTGCATATGAAGGGTGGAATAAGGAGTTATTACCTTAATAAAGGCTTGTCTTTGTCTCTAACTTTACATGGTTTGTGCATGAGGGAAGACCACACAGGTGGGAGTCCAAGAACACCTCCCTGCCTCATTCTCTAGCGATGACATGAGTTTACCTCTCCTCTCTCTGTTTTCAGCTCCTCTCCACCAAACTGCCATATTGCCGTGAGAATGTGTGTCTAGCCTATGGCAGTGAATGGTCAGTGTACGCAGTGGGCTCCCAGGCTCATGTCTCCTTCCTGGATCCACGGCAGCCGTCCTACAACATCAAGTCTGTGTGTTCCCGGGAGCGAGGTAGCGGTAAGAGTCTCAGTGTGCTACAGCTGTATCATATGTGGGTTTTGACATTCAGTTTCCAAGTAAGTACAGTGATCTGTATGGAACATGTGGAAGTCTTTGAGGGCACCAGAGAGGAATTTAAATACCTGCCTATGGCAGCAGAGTTTCAAGCACCACAGAAAAATATGTAGCCACAGAAGCCTTTGGTGGAAACCACCACCAGTCAGGATATTAGTGGTTTCCATATTCTTTCAGGTAATTCTACTTTCTGTCCTGTGGTAACTTTCTGCTGGGGCCCTACCTGAATTAAAATTCAGTTCATGGTAAGAGTTGGCATGGTATGCTAAAGAGGAGTTTATAGAGGGTATGAGGAAATGTTTGAGGTGATGAATATGTTTATTAGTTCAATTGTGGTAATAGTGTCTTACATATATACATGTGTCAAAACTTCAAACTGTGCTCGGTGCCCATAGTTCAGTGGTTAGGGTGCTGGCCACATGCTCCAGGGCTGAGGGGTTTGAACCCAGCCTGGGCCTGACAAACAAAAAAAATAGCCAGGCCTTGTGGCAGGCGCCTATAGTCCCAGCTACTAGGGAGGCTGAGGCAAGAGAATAACTTGAGCCCAAGAGTATGAGGTTGCTGTGAGCTATAACACCACAGCATTCAATCAAGGGTGACAAAGATTCTCTCAATTTAAAAAAATAAATAAAACTTCAAATTGTATATTTTAAAAATGTGCACTGTATGACAACTATACCTTAGTAAAGCTGAAGAAAATATTATTGAGTTTAGTTCTGACCAGTGGGTAAATTAGGCTTCAGCTACCAGTCTTTTATACCATATTCTCTGTAAGAAGCACCCTCATTCTTTATTCCAGGGGGGAAAAAGATACTTAAAGTTATAGTTTACTTTTAAGGTTTCAGAATACCCTTTTACTTTTTTTTTTTTTTTTGGT